GGGGGGGGGGGGGGGGGGGGTAGCAGGAGAGTCAGGGGGAATGAGAACGGTTGACGAAGAGCCGCTGTTAAACAAGCTTGTATCGAAACAGCAGCGCTTGCTGTACGCATATGGCACGGGTGCTGCGATCACGGGTAGATCACAGCCCGGTTTGTCCCAGGACTAGCTGCTTCCAGACATCCGCCTCGACGTGACACTGGATGTAGAAACGCCGCTGAAAGTATCGGACGTATTGGAGTTGAACACCACGATGACAGCCCGACATCCCGCCCATCTAACGGCCCCAACACCGCCACCCTACCAACGTCTTTCCCAAAAAACCAGGGCTAGAAGCACGCCTGAAACAGGAAGGAGGAGGTCAATTCCGCAAACCGGAGGAATTCTTCGTGCCAACGGATTTCTTCGAGGAGCGGGAGACGGCCATCCCTCCGGACGTGACGCTGGCCCAGGACGAGGATCTAGGGGGAATGCTATTTCACGTATTTTGATCCACCCACCTTGGCTGATGTTGTTGTCGTTGCTCTTGGTAACGGGTCCAAGTTGTTGTTGTCGTTGTTGTGGTGGTAAATAGTGGTGGTTTTTGATGTTGCCATCGTCTGGTGATTGTTGCTCGTCTATTTTTGCCTTCCCGTTCGTTATTCGTTGTCGAATATCCTTCTCGTCGATACCAGTACTATTCACGTTTTTCAGAGCCACCAACGTCTCCAAATATGAAAGCAACCGATTCACGGACTGATGTTGTTATATGTAGCTCGTAATGTCATCGCATGATCCTCGACCGGATTTTTTTAGCCTTTTTGGGGTGTAACGGTGTTATTGCAGCAAGGTAACTTCTTGAGGAACCTACGGTCAGGGTGACTGCGTCGATCCCTTTGCCGGTCATGATTTACTGTCAATACAATCGGGAGATTTTGTATCGTTCACAACGCGTACAAGTAGACTATCTCATCAAGGTGCTATTTTTCACTCCCGTCGACGAACGAGAGCACGCAATCACCCAAACACAGTTTCTCCGTTAGTCATGAGGCTCACGCTCTTCGTTCGTTAACAATCGCTCGCCGCTAGAACTCCTGCGGCCTTCGCGTCAAGGTCTCGGGATCTCGTGTTTTTGTCCTGGCCCCTACCTCTGAGCAAGACTGGAAGTATTGACAGTTCTTTTTTACCTAGCGCATCACCGAGGGTTCAGAGCGTTCCCGTTGCTCTAGGCCACAGGCTAACGTCTGTATGGCCCTTAACGTAAGGTAGAGCCACTTTCGCCATTGCTGAAACAGATCTTGCCGAGAGAGTCCCCTTTTGCTTTTCTCTCGAGTTCATGGCTCTGTCCTGGGCCTAGGCTGAGGGTGGCCCTGCTAGCGCTGTTGTTGTCGTCCCCACGTGTTTTATTCCCTACAGTAGGTGGATATATTCTTTGTGGCCGACCAACGGGTGTCCGGTGGTAACCCTTAATCGTCTGGATGCACCCTGCGAATGTAATCAGCAATGCGATTATCACGAGCTGTCCAATGAATCCAATTGCCACAAACATCATCACTGGCAACGTTGCAACTGGGGAATCGATCCAGGGACCACCGACTGGCACAGTCATCACATTCAAACACGAGTCATATTGCCGAAACGAAAGAAGTGGACACCACAACGAACAGCAACATTTAACGACAAAAAATTAGACCCAAACAACGACCGCAGAGTACCACTACTTCATAGTCTACACCGCGTCGCCACACCTGTGTCCCCGCCAATACCACCTCCAAAAGTAGGTACCCAAGTTCTTAATTTTTGGAGAGTTTTTTGGGGGGAGGGTACAAAGTCACCCCCCACACGCCATACACACTCCGATGGATAAACGGGGCTACGTGCTCCCTAGCGCTCGTGCGTGCTCACCGCGCCCAGCACGAGGTACTAGGCTAGACGAGAGGGAAAAGGAGGAAGAGGAGGAAAAGGAGGAGGAGGACCGGGAGGGGGAGGGGAAAGGTAGGGAAGAGGACGAGGACGAGCAGGAAGGGGGGGGGGGGGGAGGGATGAGGAGAAGGAGAAGGAGCCGGACGTGAGCTCGAGGGGGCGTAAGCGCACCCCAAACCGGGTTTTACAGATCGCGATACCGGTTTGTTGAGAAGCACGATGAGCACTAGACCACGGCTGACTAGTGGTCTCGTGGTCATCGTGCTTCTCCACAAAAGATTATACCCGAGTCCGTCCAACCTTCTTTCAAGCCACAAACACGCCCCCCCGGGGTTGCCATGTCTGTGATCAGCGCTGTCTTTCCCGGAGAATTCCATCGGTACAAGAGGTTCATCGGATATTTTGCGAAGTCTCGTCAGACCTTCTATTCCCATATATCGGGCGCAAATACTAAAATCCTCGATATACTCCTCGAACGATAAATGCTCCAGGGGAGATTCGAACCCCGCGTATTAACTTTTGTCAAGAAGCATAATGACCACGTTTGGCCAGCGCTGGCTGGTGGTCTAGTGTTATCGTGCTTCTTAACACTAGCGTCTCCGAATCGCTAGAGGTAGCCGTCGACCTTCATCGAATAGACTCTAGCTCTTGCCCCCCCAGTGATATCTTCAAGCTTATTCAAACCCACGCCATCGGGCGCCTTAGCTTCCCCCTCTAGAATCACGACCACGGCGGAACTCCTTGCCTACCCGCGAGACATGCTAGTCACGTGATCTACGTGCCAGAAATGCGTAAGGAGTACGGCAAACGATGCATCCCACACTCTGCCCAAACGTGATACATGGAAACTAGTTTGACAAAGTAGCGTAGGTCAAACTGCCGGCCTCCGTCGTGTCCACACACCAAGCCAGTCGCCCCACCTGCGGCGCTCAGAGAGACTTGTCACGCAACACACAAGACACCCCCATAGAACTTTCTTCATATACCACAGCTGATTGTAGTACTTTTCAGTTCCTGCACCAAAGCTAGTATCTTCTCCAAACCGCCCTGCATGTCTTGCACTTTGGAGGCCACATGGTTGCGCAACTCCTCCAGTTCCTCCTTCGACGCCACGTTCTTGCGCAACTCCTGAAGCTGCTTATCGGTTGTCTTTTCTAGGCGGTCCCGGAGAATCTTGGTGTGTTCCACCGTGGTCTTTTCTAGGCGGTCCCGGAGAAGCTTGATGTGTTCCACCGTGGTCTTCTTCTCCTTCTCGTCTTGCCGAACATCCTTGTCGTTCATAGGGTCTTCGAGGAATTCAAGCAGCTTTTCCGCGCCTACCCCACTACGGCCCTTCTTCAGCATGCTCTCTATCGTGGGCGTACTTAAACGCTTTGGGGATTCTTCGTCCTCGTCAGGATCCTGGGTGGACCGACATGCAGCTAGCTTCCAGCACCAAGAGAAAAACTCCGTACCAGGCAAAACCAACCATCGCAAAAAAAGACAGCACGGAGCACCCAGAATGCACAACAAGAATGTCAGGAACCAGGCGAGTACAACTCCGATCCACTCAAGAAGGAATCTAAACACGATGCCTAGACCCTGAAGCATTCGCCATAGCGGCGAGCCGCAACTGCCGAACATTACAACCTCCTTGGACATGTCCTCCGCGTCGGGCTCCTCGTCGCTTTCCAGGAGAAAACCAAAAAAACAATCCTGTTCATCCGTAGTCGAAAGCCACGAGTGCCACGCGTACTGAGCGTAGAAGAACCCCGAGAGACCCCACAGTATCGCCCCTCCAGCAACAGCTACAGGACCTAGCACGAGCCACCACACGAGCTGTCCAAAGGCTCGCCGAGCCCCTCTGTGTCGTTGTCTCGCGCCTTCCCACACATTTCCCCAGAATAGGCGGCCATGCTCATCAATCGCAGGGCGTTCTGTCTCACTTTGTTCTCTCTTCGCCTCCAGGAGAAAACAGTACGGAAACGTCATTGCGATCACCCCCAGCGATAGAAGCAGCTGAACTAAATTGAAGGGGGCAGGGAGAACGTCATTGTCGACAACCGTCCGGTAATGAGCAATAATGCGTGCCTTCGACACCTTGAACGCCCCGCCAGTATTTTCCTGTACCTGGGCGTGCTCAGTGCTCAATATGGCAATCAGGAGGTTGAGGAGCATAACCGTGACGATGAACAGATACACGACAACCAGGATCGTGGCCACAGGGTCGTATCGTCCGCCGGAGAACTCGTCGAAGAATCCAGTCTCGCCAAGCATGGCCTTGAAAAGGCCAAGCAAGGTGTCACCAAAGTCCTCTACATCGCGGAAGATAACGTGAAGCGCCATGGTGAAACCGATCATAACGACCAACATGACCGCACCAAACTGCAAGAGTGTCGCCGTCATGCGGAATATCACCTGTGCACGGGGGCGGGTACGGCGTGAGTTGGGCGGCAAGAGGTTGTTAGTTTACCTTGGCCCTGGTTTTTGCCAAATCAGTCAGTCCGGTGGGTTGCCTTCAACAGATCGACAAAAAACTATTGGGGTACCAGTCTAAAACACAAACTGCGTAGCAGAGCTACAAGAATCCTTGCCATTCTTCCAGCACAACAGGCTCAGCGAATCTGTATCACAGAGAAGTGGAAAAAAACGAAGAAAATGGGTCGTGATGTGTCGTACTTTCATCGGCACAACAAATCAATCTACTGGTCCCACCAATGCTTCAACGGGTTTTAAGCAAATACCTGGACCATCGGTCCTTGGAACTGGAGGATCTGGGCGAAGAAAAGGACGCGGGCAACCACCAGCGGGGCACTCAGGGCGTAGAATGCTGGCCCCCAAGTACTGGTCCAGTCGTCCCATCTGATGACCAAGCCGACGAACAAGAACAACATGCCTAGCGCGTCCAGAACGTTCCACTGGTCCTTGAAGTATGCACGAATGCCCCTCTTCATCTCGCGCCCCTCTCGGTATGCTCCAGCCTGAGAAACGAAACAAACGCGTTTGGCGCGATAAGGAGGTGGGGGATTTACACACTTGTGTGTTCCAGGGACTGCTGTAGAGGGAGCTCGCCTAAGCGGTGCAACTAAAACCTTGCTGCGCGGTGTATCGCACACTAACCGTGTTCAATACAGATCGATCGCCAAAATTCAAGTAGCCGGGTGCGCCCGTACAAAGTGGACGAGAAAGAGAAAGCACAGCACCATTTTGAAAGCTGTCATGGCCACCATACGTTTGGAAGGTGCTCACCGTGATGAATATCAGCGCACATGCGCCTTCGGAGAGGCTGAACCTGTGGTCGGCGATGCCGTCCAACCCCGGATCACTTCCGGTCGTGCTATGGAAGAGAACGAAATAGCTGAGCGCAGCGACCATGCCAACATACACCACGAAATCCAGCAGCATTCTCATGGCTGGGACTTCATAGTACTTGGTTGGAGCCGCAACCATTGCTGCCACGATGAACTGTGCCCCGGGCAAAAAGGTCAGGGTTGGAGTATTATCCCATATTCCCTGCCGAACTCCCTTTAGCAACGCTTCAAGAAGCGCAACCGGAATCCCGTCCAACCCGAGCCCGTGTTCGTCTCGAAAGAGGCCATCCTCTTCCAGGTACCACAACTGGTGCTCATTCTTCAACAATCCTGCCGTGTCCATCAGGTCCGGTAGGCCCAGCGTAAATTTGCTTGACAGGAAGTCCATGATCAGAGGAACTTTGCAAAACGTCTCTAGCTGCAGCGGGTCTGAAATAATCATATCCAGAGGCCCTCCTAAGTCGTTCGATCCACTTTGTGCCCTCATCAGTTCCGGCTCAAGAACGTTAGTACAGGAATCCGTGCCCGCTTGTTCTTCAAATCCACGGACCGTCTGAGGTAAGCGCTCGAACATCTCCAGCAACATCTCGTCAATGCTTGACTTGGTTTCAAAAAGCGCCCTTCGCTCTCCCTCGCTAGCTTGCTTCGCGGCCTCAGTAAGCCGTATCGACAAGGTGACGCCGGGGATGAAAGGGTTCGCGGCGGAGGTCACAGCACGCAAGCAGCAGCGTTTGAAAACGTCTCCAGACGCCGCCTTTCGTGAGAGCCCCTTGAGCTCGCTGGCGGATGGCCGTGCCGAGTTTGCAATTAGCGAGAACAGCATCTTGAAATCATCCGCATGGAATCTTTCCGGAACATCCCTCGCCTCGTAAGAAAAGGCACCGTCCATCCACGAGCTTCGCCGCTCCGCCACCTGGAATGTGGTACGCGCGAGCAAAACAACGAGACAACGCACCAATGTTCGTGATGCCGAGAAAATGATGGATCGATATTTTCCTGTACTGGATACGGGCAACAGGGCCACCGAAACGTCCATGGCAACGGCCGAATCCCGCACAACATGTACTGACGAGGGTGCTTCATGATCAACGGAAAGCTTCCTACCGGTAGACCAGGAAAATCCAAGGAAATACATGGCAGACTGCAGAACTTCTGACCGTGCAAACAGCCGACATGGGTGAAACCACAAAATCTGTTCTTGGAGGGAAGACGTTCAGAATACCTTCCGGCCAGACAATGAGCGATCCATCAACCTTCGTGCCAGCCGAGCATGCAGACTCCTAACGCTTCGGGGATATCCCTTCATCCACCTCTCGATGGTTCCCCAGTCGACCTGACATTCATGAAATTCACACACACACGGAATCGGCAGAGCACAGCATATCGGTGATATGTAGTTCCCCCACACGATCTGCTGTATGTGGACATTCGCGCGCAAAATCGTTACGAACTGCACCAAGCAGGCAACCGTATTGTCACGGGCTCGGCGGTTCCAAGCACATGTACCAGGTACGCGGCGGTGGTCATCGTGCTCTTGCACCGACGAGCGAGGGACAACGGATGGCAGGGACCCCCATCACTTCGAACCGTCTTTCGCAACATCCACCGTGAGGGTGCGTGACGACAGGAAAGCGCAGGTACTGGAAATTGGCAACACGGCGCCCGTTTCCCCCTTCAAACTCAAGCGGAGACAAAGAAAAAACGGAAAGGAGGAGCGGTGCTACTTGCAGAAAATGGCGGTGAGGCGAAAACTTGAACACCCTCTGGTGACCGCAAGGAACCTGCCCATGGAGTGCTTGGCATGCCTCAAACAAAAAAACACCTGTATCAACAGCGTCCGTTCAAACATGACCGCGTACCTCTGTTCCGAAGCTTTTGCAGCGGCCTACCACGAACTTCAAGGCAGCTTCAATGACCCCGAGATTCTCTGTGTCGAAGGCCTTCCGAAGCATGCAGGCCACGACTTCGTGCGCGTCATACACTGTCGTTGGCATAACACCTTCCATGTCTGCCAATGTCAAAACCTCGACGAGCTGCGTTCGAAACGACAAAGCGGTGGTATGTTCGAGGGTTCGAGCCGTTGACTTCACAAACCCAACCACAATTGGGGATCGTCAACCTCCCCACTAGGTCACCTGCTTGAGCGCATGAGGAGGTTATCAGGCGTTGGTCCACATCAGCTTGCAGCAGCCTCCAAGCAACAGAGTTATGTAAACTGAGTCATCGATGCCGCGGACAAGCCGGTACATTTGGACTAGTCAAGAGGCAAACCTCCAACGGAAAGATTGAAGCTCAGTAGTCAGCACGTCATAAGCAGCGACAGACACGGCGATCAAGTGTGTGCGCAAGACCCCGGAACGGAACAGCAGGAAATCACCAGCGACTTTTCTGGGCTAGAACCAGACCAACGCGTTCGGATTTCAAACACGGTCAATCAGCGATCGGTGAACCGAATGAGCCAGCGCAGCTTACCTCTATCGCTTTCGACAAAATGGACGAACGGACTACACCGTACCCGAGTGCAATCGAGCTGCGTCATTTTCAACACTACGCATACGCCAATTCAACATCCGCGGTCTTCGGCAGCAAGACGTACGAGATTAGGGCAAGGAAGGGGCCACATATCCCCCCATGTTGCCTTACAAACGACACGTATTCACACGTTCATAAAGAAATGCACGCCCCACCGGATGCTGGAGTTCACGCGAGGTTGCAGCTAAATCGCCTCGACAGCAGTTGCCCAACAGCGGAATGGTGGGCCCTACTGCTCAACTCCAAATGACCAAATGAGCTAATACCTGATGGTGATCGAGGACTTCCCATGCGCAATCCAGGGTGGCTTTGAACAGGTTCTCATCTCCTATGTCGAATGCCTTCGCCAGTAAGGATTCGCCAAAAGTATTTTTGGACTCGACGAGATCCCCTCGCTGAACCACATGAGCAACAGATCCAGCAACGGGAAAGTAGATTTGGCAAACAGAGTCCTTGTGAGCTTGCAATTTTCAACTTGTGCGACAAACAAATTCCAAACTCTCCTCCATCACGAACTGCCAAGATGACCCACCATCGGGTCCACTCCAACACATCGCGAGGTGGCGAAAGCAATGGTTAAGACAAACAGAATGCCGCCTCAAAGGAAAACTCCGTTCATTCGTGTCGCATGAAGTCGTCAACAACGTCAACAACATGGAGGTAAACGAGCAAGGTACGGGTTTCCCCGGCCGGCGCGACACTTCCGGCGGAGTCAACGTCAGTTTGAGGGAGTGTGCCGATCTCTCCTGGGCGAACCAAGGCACCCAGGTGCCCGACAGAGGGACCATCGTTAAACGAATTTGCGTATTTCGTTCACCTGAGTGGGACTAAGGAAAGCCCATGCGCACTTCCGTACGAGTTCAAACAGCTGGACGTCACCGCTTTCGATAGCTTTCGACAACAACGTCTCGCCAACGACGTTCTTCGAGCTGATGATGTCACCGACCTGGCACACCATTAACACACAAGAGAAAGGAAACCTCCTTCAAGAGGCGCTCAGGAATATGTAGGCAGTACTCGAAAGAAAAGGGCCCTGTAGGCATACGTTGAAGGGATAGGGACAAATTCTGAGATCTTCGAAAATATTGCACCCAACAAAAGGGTGGATATGTCGTATTCTCCACACGATACAGGCTTGAATTCTTCGCCAGCATGTGTATCATGCATTCGCTTCGGTCGTGGTCCCGCATTGCCAACTTTGGATCGTCGCCACAAGCCGGTTACAGTGGTGTATCGCGTCAGAACCGTTCATCTTCCAGCTACCTAAACACGTTTTCGCCTGGTTCTTCAAAACGAAACCCTGCGCTATGGTTTTGCTCCGATGTAGTTTCCCTATATGATCACGGACGAGGATCACCGGTGGTTATTTGGCTTTCGAAAACCAACCTCAAACACACGTGTGGGGTATGAAACTTGGCGCGAAAAACGATTTCAATACGATTCAAGACCATCTGTCTTCCATTGTACAGAAAACCACACATTTGAACAACGAAGCTACTCCCACACCTCACCCACAAATCGTAAGCTTTACTTTGGGTCGCTGAAAATGAAGGGGGGAGTTCTACATCATCCGTTAATGCGAGGGAGATGTTGAGAGAGGACCTAATCAGCTCTACGCGTAAAACGTCTTTAAGAGGGCGCGAGAGCTTCTCTCTGTGCGACTTGCTCATGACCTTCGAACCGTCAGGAACGAAAAAGCGACCGACTTGTTTTTGGAGGTCCTCCTGGTGTGCGGGATAGACTTCCCTGCACACCGTTGCACAATACAAGTACATCCAACAAAAATCTAAAAAAAGTTCACTTCGTCTCTAGCTTACGTAGCTATCGAACTCACGCGCTCCGCCACTTCTCCACCTAACCACGACGAGAGTGGACTGACTACCTTTGGCTCCACGAAAAGGGGCGAAGCCAGGCTAGCGCCGTCGTCGCCATTTTGTCAAGGCGGTCGGTTGAAAAGTGTCGAATTGTACGAAAACGTCCAAGAGGGTACAAAGAGCACCAGAGCTAAATTTACACCGTGTTGCGACTGTTTGCTCGTGCGCGTGCCTGATTCGGCCTAATACTGTAGTAACACTTCGCAAACGTAGTAGAGATCCTGTGTGTGCATACCGTCGTCGCAAATGCTCCGGACCCAGCACCCTTCACTCGTATGGCTTGCGACCGCCCATAGAGGGCTACGGCTTCAGCTATTCGCTATAGATAGCTAGCAGCGGCTCAGTTGAAAGGGCGGTGTATCAGGAACAACAATATTCATCAACAAATGTCGACCCCAAAAATTATGGAGAATAGTGCCAGCTCTCAAAGGGCAACGAACCAAAGTTTCCTGGAAACCTCTGGCGCCCTCACCTGCATCTCCGACAACACCACCCGGTTATTGATCCGCGTGGCAAGCTCTGGGTGGTCAGGCTCCAACACCTTCTCTAGTGTATCTTGTAAGCGATCGTAGAGCTCCTCGGCCTCGCCGTGATTGCCCTGCACACCAACCCGTTGCCCATTGTGAGGTTGCCGCAAACAGAATACAAATAACTCATCGACAAACGTGGACGCTGCGAAGATCGCGCTCGCCTGCTTCTACAACCAACTCGGCGAGGTTGGGCTGTGGGCCAGGAGAGAGCATATTAGTTGGATCTCTGAAAGTGCGTTGATCGTCGTTCCCATAGTAGAAATGGGAAATGGAGATACAATTATCGATGGGCCTATCCATACCAGATGGGCCCCTTCCACTGGTTTAGCAACGACGCAAGACTATCACGGGTAGATGAAACCAAAAGAGGTGCTTCAGCAACAAGATCACCGAAAAAAGGCCGTACCTGGGCGTCTTTGGGTTCGTTGGCCTTCTGTAGCTCACGTTCGAATTCGTCCATGAACTTGTCCATGTCACGACCTTCAACCGCCTTCATCAGTGCCGTTGTTCCACCGCACGGAAACGGTTGCCGTGAACCCATCTGCAACGATGCAGCGAACCGACAAAATAAAACACACGGCAAGTCATTGTACGATGCAATCGATCTCCGAGATAACTCTGCGAATATAGCCAATAATCGATGCCCACGCGGCTTCGAGAGTCGTATCAAGCATGTCAAAACGCCATTGGTACCTCGGCTGCCTCTATTCCACGCTCCTTGCAAGCATCCCACACAGCGTCGACGGTATCCTTGTTGCCGCTGAGAGCCGCGAGGTGAAGCAGCGTTCGATGCTGACCGTCCTTCTCCATCAGGTGTTGCTTCAGCTGGTATAGAGTGTATTTGAGCACGGTTGACGTTGCGTTAATTGAGAAACATCGAGATGCGTCGTCGAAATTGGGCCGGCAGTGTCTAGGGTAGAGAATCATGGGATAGCAATCAAATGCCTGTATTCGTGAACAATTCAAAGCACGATGCCCATGAAGGGGGCCACTCGTTGAAGGGGGCGCTCCCTGCCTGGTTCTTCTCGTCTTCACACGTGACGGGAATCGTTGCGACAGAGGAACAATTATAGGTACCATGCAGCCCAACGATACCCTGCAAGCACAAGTTCGCCATTTTGTTTCTTGGTCTCACTTCGGCCTTGTCCTGGCTAAGTGTAAGACTTAGAGCACTCCGGACGCGCTTGAAGTTCTTAGCTTCCCCGCTGGCGGCTGCCACCATCAGTACTGTATGTCCAGTAGCGGCGTCCTTCGACTTGAGCATCTCCAACATCTGAGTGACCAACAAAGTGCCGAATTAGCTTCGGTGTTGAAGTACCCCCGGGGAGTCAGCGCAGCAAGTATTGCCTCGTAGAATCGAATACCACAGGTGCTCACCATGCAACGCGACGTTTGATGTCAACATCTACAGCATAACGCGAATTGTAAGGCACAGAGTGCAAGCGAAGCCCCTGACGCCAAGGTTCCGTTCCCCGCGTCCCCTGTTTCAGAAATCCGGGGCCGAACGATGCAGGAATGTGAAAGAGATATTCTCCCGAGGAACCCCTCCCAGACCATGGAATCTTCAGTTACCCCACGCTATGACGATACGTCGTTATTAGCGCTTAGGAACACGATCGGGGTGGGTGGGCAGGGAAATGGCGAAAGGCCATATCATCTAGTGCACAGAACCGTTAGGAAACACCAGTCTTCGTTGGGAGGGAGAAACAAATCACCGCCAACGAAAATATCCAATGACCCACCATCATCGCACCGACAACGAGCTTTCCCCGACCAAACCACGGTCTCCATTTTTCTTGTGGTCAGCCGAACACATACACTCGTGCAGATATGCCTACCTGGCTTTCATCGAGGTGTTTTGCGACAATATCAATGGCAGCCGCCAGGTTGTCATGATCTCCACTAAGAGCCGCGAGATGCAACACCGTGCGGTCGCCGCCATCCTTTTGCACGAGTTGCTCCTGTAGCATCCCCTCGCGCTGAGTGAGCAACAAAGCGACGAGTACGTACGAAGAAACTGGTGTGGGGTGTTGTTGAGGGTGAACAAAATCGAGTCCTGTGTAGTACACGCGGGGCAAAAAAAAATGCTCGAGTTCGAAGGCCTCGAAGACCTCTGTCAGCGATGACCGATAACCGCGAACATGTGCCAATCTTATCTTGGTACTTTTTCAGTCATCCTCCATCTGAACGGACGATGACGCAAGAATCGCTTCCCCGGCGGCCCACCCCACCCAGCTCCACACGAGATGAATCTACGGCGTCGTCCTGACGAGGCTGGGCGCGGTGCTGTCGGCTACCTGGCCTCAACACCCGCAGATTCACCGAAAACATGAAAACATGAGGTCAGAATACAATCACCTTTAATGCCGTGTGTACACTCAAGAGCAGCTCTTTAGATGCGCCGCATTTCGCTGCGTGTAAGAGTGGCAAGGTCCCCTTAAACAAGGCGCATGTGTCCAGCCCCCCGTCGCTCCCACCGTAGGTTTGCCGCAGGCGCTCCTTCGCTCGTCCCCCGGTCAGCAAGCCCTCCAACCGTCCGAGGTCGGCATTCTCGATGACGTCTCGCAGATCATCTTAGAGAAGCGAACGAATCGTGAGCAAGCCGAAAACCGCAGAAGGGTTTGAGGTAGGAAACCCCAACAGATCGGCGAGATGCGCGGTTGAGCGCCTCCCAAGCGTGTGGCAAGATGAGGAGATATCCATGGCCAGCAGTATCCCTTTGTTGCCACGACGTTGTGGTTGGCTCTTGGTGTTGGTCTGGTTGTTGTACCGTCGAGTTCAACAGGGCTACAGTAGTTGGCGTGTTGTCTCGGCTCGTGCCCAGGAAGAGGAAGGCGAACTCGGCACCGCTGACTACAAAATGTGCACAGCGACTACTCCCAACAGCAGCCAGCGTCTCAAAACTTTTCAGAATAGCAAAAAAATAGCTCCGCTAAACAAGCTGGAAAACCGTGGAAAGCAAATCTCTCCCAGTCTCAGGCTTGGCTGCGCAGAGGACGATGGCATGGTTCTGCCGTGATCTGCGCCAGGGTGACTCCAGACACAGGCCCAAGAACAGCTGTAAAGATAGATAAAACTCTCGACAGCTGCACATTGCCTGGCACTGGGAGAAGAAACTTGAGGCATCAGGCGAGGCTTCTCGTTCTGTCAAATATCACATTTTCAATAATTCAACAATCTATGTAAGCAGACGCACCTTTCGGATTCTAATATCTGCGGCAAACTATGTCCCAATCGTTACCCCTTCCAAACAGGGTCCGGATAAGCGTTGCTCGTGCCGGAGTGTTGCTACTCGTTCGTATTTTTCGTTCTAGACGACAAAGCTCAATGCACCCACTCAGGATATGCAATTCGTGCTTACTCCCGTTCCTGTTGGGCTACTTTCATGTACAGCACCCATCTCCCCAGGTCAGATGAATCATTTGTGGTACATACGGCGACCGGCCTTGTTTGTTTATTGCTTCTCGTGGAAACTGTAAAAGTAGCAGCTCTACCAATTGAAATAGTCTACGCATACATACGTATCCCACAGCAACTACCATTCGTATTTTGTTGAGCCATGGCTCTCCTAGAAACGGGCAGATCCAACTTGTGCCGATTTGGGTTGTGCTGGCTCTGAACGGGGAAGCTCCAGGCTGCAATCCATAGGCCACAAGGGGCAAAAGGATACCTGCCGGTTGTGTAGCACCAAGGAACAAAACCGGGAACTAACGCAACATGTGGAAAAACTTGTTCGTCTAGACGTTTCGGGTTCAGCCTGCGTCCGAACACAAGCTGACGCCGCCGTCTACAAAACGGGCCTTCGATATCTGACGCTGTGCATGTTTTGGAGCCCGAAACGAAACCCAAAACGATTTAGTGCTCCAAGAAACGTATGAAAGGAGTAATAATGCTTTCGGCCTCGATCTTGTTGAAACAGCAATTTCCAAAGTTTCACTGCCAGCAGCTTCAACGATATGTGATACCTGCACTAGCTTCCTGACGCACCTGGATCATCTTGTTCTGCTTGGTATGGGTTGCTTCCGTGAGCAGAAGCCGCCGGGCCTTTGTTCGACACGTCCTTCTCTTCAGATTTGTCTTCTTCCGGGTCGTTCGACGGACGATCTTCCTTCCTTTTTTCGTCTCCACGGGCGCGACCATGACCAAGGTCGCCATCATGACCAGGCGCCAGAATCCCTTCTTCGGCGGGCGCCCCTGTACCCGGATCTTCCCGTTTCCTCGAGGCTTTCGGTTCCTCTTCAACGCCGCCGCCACCTTCGTGGGTAGGCGGCGGCATTGGCCTTCCGCCAGCCAACCTTCCCAATCTCTGAGTTTCGGGAGGGGTGGGGGGGTGGGGGGGTGCTGTATGTGACACTGCTTTGGCACAATTTAGCACCGGAAATCAGTAGGGATATGAACCTACTTAGGCTAGCTACGCAGTACCGACACACCGACTGCGTATGTAGCTCGGGTGTCTAATTCCGACGTCTGCGCTCCCAACCAACTGAGCAATCATCGTTCTCCAGTTGGTTGGTGTATTATTTTCGTTAGAGAAAACCCTGCTTGTGCGCAACCACTGGAGAGGCGCTTCCGAGCTCCGCGGAAAAACCAAGGGGGGAAACCTAAGTCTCTCTCCCTCCCCAAACCATGGAAGTGCAACGTAATCACGAATGAGAGCGCCAGCCGTTTGGTATTGAGGCAGCGCGGAGTCCCCGTTCGTGCTGACGGTCCCGGTCGATCTGTTTCTGCTGATTAAGGAATGATTGTTAATTGTCGGTTGCGTATGGAGCCAGGGCCATACAACCAGGGCCGACGAATCGCGCTTGCAGATGTGGTCGGTCGTACACGAAAGAAAGTCGTGGTGCTCTCCGCTAGGTTAGTCCGTGCTCATAATTGCACTCAATGTTTGGTGAGGTTCTTCACAGCTCCACGTCTGCGGGAAATAAATCAATCACACATCTTTCACTACTACTAGGTCAAGAGCTTCCCACTTGGTATGTGATTTACGTCTTTCACTAACTTTCGTGTCCACCCTACACAGGGAGCGGCGGAACAAATGAAGGACGGGGGGAGCGGTAGCCCCCCGCGTCCGGAGCCCTTGTATACAAGAGTACTAGATAGGGAGGAGTACTGAGCCGTGGGGTCGGCTCAATACCTGCAGTAGTCTGTATCTGCGATGCTGTGTGTGATGGAGACTTCCTCTGCACTTCATCCATACGTATCCGGAATATATTGAGCGGATTTTCAAGCCTGTGCATCCGCCCCCCGCTGGTGTCACCAACGGCGCAGGACACACACACACACACACGCCGTGACACACGCGATGCTACTGCAGTACCGCCAAACGATCGGTACCTAACAGCACTGCCGCCGGCAAAAAATGAACAACAGACAGTGTTAGCATACACTTAAATAGAGTCCATCGGGCAGGGCGGTGTGGAAGGCAGGTGGAAAGTGGCAGGAGTACAGCAGTTTCCACAGACAGAGCCAACTCGTTCTCTCGCATGGACCGTTTGTCAACATCTCATCAGTTTCTTTCTGTTTCGCTTGTCGGGGTGTCGTCATTTGTTTGCTTCCCTTCTTCCCTTATCCCACGCCCTATTGCTGTCCAGCGAAACACGTCATCCCTCTATCGTTCTGAGTCCCACATGGCGATTGAGTCAACAGCAGCACCAACAGCCTCAACTTCGCTCTCCGCTGCTGCTGTTGTTGCAGCTGTGGGCAAGACCTCAATCGATCCACCCTGTTTTCACCCATCGATTTTTCCAACGGCAAACAGAACCGCCAAGATTCTCCCTGCTATTTAGGTAGAGGACGGGCACCAGGTCTGTCTGCTGTTACTGCTGTGCTTTCACCAATGGAAGGGATTGGACCACGGCGGGTGGGTGTGATTTTGTGGATGTGCGAGACTTACAGCGGTCGGCATGCTACCTCTGTTTCAGGGGGGGGGGGCGCGCCCCGAATTTCCCCGAATTACGGCGCTTGTGCCGAAATTGTTTTGGGGTATACAGCCTTAATTTTCGGGGCAAAGCCGCCGACGCAGTCAGGGTACGCAGTATATTCCGGCCGCCTTCGAGAAAACAACCAATCTTGCCGTATTCGGCGCACAATCCTGCGGGCCCCCGCAGAAATTCAAAATTCCAAGCTGCCACGCACCATGCACCATCCACCATCCACGAATACCCCCTTACCAGCTACCAGACTACTGCTGTACCAGACACCAGACCAGACCAAACCAGACTGCTTTGGTGTGCTGTCTGCTGTTGCTGGTCCCCATCGGCTCCGTTTGAATAGCGCGCACTTGAGATCTCCGCTTTTGTATTCCCGCCTTTCTTCCTGAACACAAGGGGACAGGCGGAGCAACTCCTACTTCCTTCCTTCGAATTTTGAATTTGGGCACAAATACCTGTGAAGCATGAAGCACCGCCGTCGGTCACTCTCGCCGAAGCACGACCAAAACCGGTGCGACTAACAGCAGTAGTCTACTGAGTGCGCTTTTTTCTCCCTCCTGACTTACAGTAGAAGCAAATGATCGTAAATCGGTGCCCTGTAGATCTCGTTCTGGTCCCAAAAGGTGGGTGTATTTAGGCTTCCCTGAAATCAAACTTTGGGGCCCCTGTACCACGCGGCGGAACAACAGGCCGAACTTATTATAGCTGTTTTTTCCTTCCTAGGACAGAGGGAACGGTCGAGCTTGGTGCCCCGCGGCTCGATATCAATCTTCCCGCGGACGCGGATTGAAGATGAGAATGAATAACATTTCATTTCCTTCGCTTGCAAGAAGCGTGATTTCGTGTTCTCTGAAATACGCCGCGCACACTCGGTAAACCAACGCCAATCAATGTCGTCAGCCCTAGCGGGCCAAGTACACAGAGTGTGCACTCCGCCGTCGGTTGTCATGTTTTCTCGTCGTTGGCCGTTTGCTCTCTCTCTCGCAATGGCATTGTTGAGTCGTGGACTCTGCTGGCGCTCACCGAATTACCGAAGCTTCAGGCCTCTCGAGAGCTCGCAGACAGTGGAGGAGACCCTTGTAGAGAGAGATTCTCACCGAAAAGATCGCGCGGCGCCCTGCATGAAATGCAGACCACACCACACGCGTGCTCCCAAATGCATTGGCAGATCGGGAATGAACAGAAAGGATACCAGGTACCAGCGGTATATACAAAATTCCGCGGAACCCCTCTGCGTGCCTTTGCTTGTCCCTTGTGACACTGCTTTTTCAGCACGGCAGCACTCGACGCTCAGGTAGAGGATGGAGACCAAACTTGGCGAGAAGGTCAAGAACGTCACATAATACACGTGTGAGCCATTTTCTTTGGGAGTGTTTTTCTTTGGTGGGAGAATACCGAGTCGTTGTCCTGAAGCAGTCTGGCGGCCTGTTTTACGCACCGATCCTTGTTCCGCCGCTCGGGGAGGCGAACTTTGACGACGAGTTGACCCCCCGTAAAATTGACCAAATGGGCCAACGCTCGGAGACTGGAGTAATTGATAAGCATAGACCTGATATATCGATTCTAGAATTTTTGGACCAGCCTGGTGAAGGCCGAAACAGACCTTCGCGCACGGGTGTCTCAAACGCGGCGGAACTTCCCCAACCGACGCAGCACGGCGTCTCCCTTGTCCCTTGTCGATACTTCCTTTTCAGCACCGCAGCACTCGGCGCTCAGGTAGAGGATGGAGACCAAACTTGGCGAGAAGGTCAAGAACGTCACATAATACACGCGTGAGCCATTTTCTTTAGTAGCGTTTTTCTTGGGTGGGAGAATACCGAGTCGTTGTCCCGAAGCCGTCTGGCGGCCTGTTTTACGCACCGATCCTTGTTCCGCCGCTCGGGGAGGCGAACTTTGACGACGAGTTGAACCCCCGTGAAATTGACCAAATGGACCAGCGCTCGGAGACTGGAGCGATTGATAAGCATAGACCTGATATATCGATTCTAGATTTTTTGGACCAGCTTTGTGAAAGCCGAAACAGACCTTCGCGCACGGGTGTCTCAAACGCGCGGAACTTCCTCAACCGACGCAGCTGCTACGTCCGGTCGTGAGTCTGTGCTGCCGCTGCGGTCGCATAAGCTATGAAATGATGAACTGCAGTCCTTACCACTCGCCGTAACATCCTTGGTTTTGTCTAACCACTCTCGGCTTTGTGTTTCCCGATTCTGAACAGGTTGTATTCCTATGCCGACAACTGGACCTCTGTAGTACGGCATGCGGCTCCGCTGAGGAGAAGCTTCTGCCTTCCGACACATGCGGCCAAGGACCAGCAACAACCAAGTCCGGGCTTTCGTAGACGACGCCGGCATCGCAAACCAGTTTCCCGCCTTGAACGAGGTGAAATTTAGGCGTGAGCACCCTCGTACTGTGCAAACGCCCTGCTTGCTTGCTGCAGCCGTACAAAAAGCACGAGCAACGAGTGTGCATGGACGGGGCGGAGCGGGCAACGCGGCGCGGATGACGTGCGCTATCAAGGGCTGGAGGACCGCTCCTGAACCACACACGCACTTGAAACATCAGGTGGCTTGATAGGCATTGCACGTCACGTGAGGCGGTGGGCGCTTTTCTGTGTGCTGTGGCTATCGCGGGATGTACTTTGGACCTGTGCCAAGGCGGTGGGCCCACCGACGTCGCTTGCGAGCGGTCTTCGATCCACGTTGTGAAGCTCTGACGATGATGGACATGAACTTGGCGAGGTCAGGACGTTGTATGAGTTGGTTTGAGAGTAGAGCCCAGCAGGAGAATGTCCCTGCACATGGATGCTCAACACGCACAGGCAGCAGCCGACAGAAGACTTTCTGCCACCAGAGTTCAAAGCGCGAAGTTATGTCGTACTCTGCAGATCGTAGATCCTGTTCAGGCCCGACAGGAAGGTTGTTTTTTTTTGTCCCGCAGGCACCGAACGATAGAATCGCCGAGGGTTTTAGGTTGGTGTGGAGGGTGCGCCCCCCTCCCTGTCTGCGAGTGCGCCCCGGGTTGTTTTTTTCTCAAGAAATTAAGTACCGTTGCTCAAGGGCTCAAGAGGCTAAACATTTGATGGGTTGCCTGTTGTTTTGGCTGTTGCCATGCGCATCGAGTGGTTGAAAATTACGGATGTTGAAATTACGAAATTACAGTAGAGAGAAAGATCCTGGATGTATGGCGCGCAACTTAATGCGTCCATTTGACAGGGCCTTTGCAAGTATGAGGTTCGTTGATGAACAGGAAAGTTCTCACACTTTCTGCGAACCACGACATGCTCGTGCACTATTTCATGTTACGTGTGATCTGCGCGATCGCTGAAGTGTTACGCTGCTGTTGTTCGCGATGCTAAATAATAGGCGTTCAGGGGGTTCCAACCTTTACGAAAGCTTGGAGTCTTTCTCGGTCGCCTGCGACAAGGGAGAAGACAAGGCCAGTCGGCTACGTGCGAACGAGCCAAACAAAACGAAACGACAACCGAGCCGGGGGGAGGGAACAGGGGGAATAAGCGTAGAAAGATGCAATTCGAGGGCACGACCGCAGCTTGGGGAGAGCAGGAAGGAGATGGCAGAAGATGCCAGCGACTCATGTGCAGACTGAATGTGTTGGAGTTGGCAGGAATACCAGCCATGTCTCCCTTTCATGTTTTGTCGCCAAACCCCTTCGTCCCATCGCCGATGCGATGTTGTTTGTTTTTTGGTGGTGACTGGTTGTTTTTCAGACTGACTTTTGTGTCTGCGCACGCCAAGGGATGAGCCCGGCCGGCGGGAAGTTCGCATGGATTGTCCCGGCAAAGCATGGGTAGAGGATGCAGGTATCAACGGTGTCATAATCTTGAACCCCCCCTGCATTATATTTGTAGGCATGTGTGTGGAATGGTATGGCCAGTGTAACTCCCACGTTGATACACCCCTGCCTAGCACATGGGGGCACAAGGTTAGAATCCATACCGTGTTTGTATTTATCTTTGATTGGTAATCTTTGGCACCGCATACCGAGCGGGAGCGATAGGGCCTCGCTTTTTTTGGGTGTGAATGCCCCCCCCCCAAAACCACAAGTTTGGTAAATTAGACAACAGCGAAAAAACGATCGCGATAATTGGGGATAGATGGTGGGCACAAGAGGCCCTAGAGGACGGGGATAAGATGTGCAAGAAATTTTTATGGAGTTTGTGGCAGAAACGTAAAGAGCTCCCAAATGTTGGTGGTGTCTCTAGTAGGTGTAGGAACGGTGCTCCGTCTCGAAAGGGACGCGTGGTCAATGGTCAAATGACTACGGCAAGCAACAAATGAGTACCCCCCCCCCCCCCCCCCCACAACAGCAGTGCTCTGGCTGTCGAGGAAGCGATGTCGTTGGCTGCAGCAGGCGAACCGCTCTGTTTTTTCCTGCATATCTGCGCCAATCAGCATGGTTGACTTCAAACAACCCCCCAAACTGTTGTGTATGTTTTCGGACGGACGGTTGGTGGAATTTGGGGGGGGTGATGTATACAAAGGAAGGAAGCTGCGGTAGTGGGACGAGGCTTGTTTTCTGCCCTGAATAGCGGGGCTGCAGATTGGAGCACAGCATGGTCAGATGTGCAAGTTTGACATGTACTTCAAAGGTCGAGGGGCAAGATCGCTCCCACAATTCCCTTGAGAAACGAAAGAGGTTGACGGTGGAGAATTGAAGGGAAATCGACGTGTCTACTTGGGCTTGGGGATGGGAGATCATCCGAGGGCGTCATGATTGAGCCCCGCCGTGAATGTTCTGGCGGCGGTGTGTATGATAATGAAGGGCCATACAGACGTTGGCCGGTGGCCTAGAGCAATGCAAACGCTCCGAACCGTCGGTCATGCGCTAGGTAAATCTCAATACTTCCAGCCTTGCTCAAAGGTAGGCGCCAGGGAAAAAACACACGAGGTCCCGAGACCATGATGCAAACGCCGCAGGAGTTCTAGCGGCGATCTTGACTAGAGCACCTTCGCCGGCTAGGAACAGAGGGTGACTGCTGGCGAACGAAGAGGGTGAATCTGATGACTAACGGAGTAACTGTGCTTGGGTGATTGCTTGCTCTCGTTCGTTGGAAGGGGTGAAAAAATAACACCTTGATGAGAGATAGTCTACTTGTAAACGATACAAAATCTCCCGATTGTATTGACAGCAAATCACGACCGGCAAAGGGATCGACGCAGGCACCCTGACCGTAGGTTCCTCAAGAAGTTACCGTCTGGATGCACTCTGCGAATGTATTCATCAAGGCGATTGTCACGAGCTGTCCGCCGAATCCAATTGCCACAAAAACCATCACTGACAATAGTTGCAACAAGAGCATCCAAGTAGTCCCCGAAGAGGATCGGTCGATGCCAGGGACCCCCTGACTGGCACAAGTCATCACATTCAAACAAGAGTCACATTGCCGAAACAAAAGAAGTGGACACCACAAGGATCAGCAACACATCCAACGACAAAAAAATAGACACAAACAATCAACTGTCTGTGTATCATTACTACGCAATCGCCACACCTGTGTCCCCTCCAGTACTATCTACACAACCACAACGACAGCATCAGTACCAACAAACATAACAGCAGCAGCCTCGCGCTCATACATAGTTTGTTCCTTGTACACGAAACATGCCGTACGCCGTACGCACAGCGCCTGGGTGGTTCAGTTGAGAAACTCGTCCCTTTCCTCATCATCTAGATTGGGGGTTCGAATCTCTCATGAGGGAAGGAACTGCTGAGCCCTTCTCGTGAAGTAAAATGAAGGCAGGCACCCCACGGGGAGCAATGGAGAGCAAGAGAGAACCCCCCTCAGTGCTAACCTTTTCCTATCTGATCCCGGCTGGTGCGTCAATAATACACCGAAACGCGTATGCTGTCGCCCAAAACATTGATGGTACGAAAATCGCACGAACACACACATAAATTGAGCAGCTGACTCTCTTTCCCCCCTCGTTTTCGATTCGGCGGCCTTCTATCAAAACGTCGAAGTCGAGCGACCGATACCATATAAAACTTCGCGACAACAACAACCCCACACCAAACACCTAGCTCCGCTCTACCCCCATGTCATCCTTTCTTGCTTTGTCAACATCCAAAACAAATGTACATCTCACCGTCCGGTCTATCTATTTTTTCTTCTTCCCCTTGCCCCCCTTCTTGCCCTTCTTGCCCCCTCCTCCCGAATCCCTGCGGTGGAGTGCCTCAAACAGAGGGGTGGGCAGCGTCGCGTCCACCAAGAAGTGCTTGATTCTGTTCTGCTCCAGCGCCGGTAGCATCACCTTTTTTCGACCGTTTCGGCGCACCACACCGGTAACGAATATTACTATTTTGCAGCTCGCGCGTTGTTATCAGCCAAGCGCAGCGGGGCAGTGCGTGAATGCTGGGGGTCGGAAGCCAGAACAGTGAAATACTGGCCGAGGGAACCCCGATACTTCAGTATGGAATTTACGGGTAATGTTGAAGCGGGATAACAGAACAACAGGCTGGAGCATGCCTCCCCTCCCCCCCCCCCAACTCAACTGCCTGCCTCCTCTCTCACCCGAGCTCCTCGCTCCCCAATGCGGTTGTACAGGAGGTCCACATGAGTGAGGGTGGAGCAGCTCATCATGGCGTCTCGGAAGTCCTCCAGGGCGTCGACGTCAGCATCACCCGACCCGATGCCGTTGTCGGCCAGCGACAGGTACACCAGCGACCGGTTGCGGGCGAGCCCCGGCGACAGGGCCTTGGTCCCCTCCGCTTCTAGCCGGTTGCCCTGGTGGAGGAAGCGCAGGCGGTGGATCAGCGGGGGTAGCGGGGGTGAAGTAGGAGCAGTAGATAGATGGGGGGACTGTGGAAGAAACGTTTCTCACACATGTATCGTTTGCTCTCATTTTCCACCATGTATGAACCTGAAGTGGCGTCTGCGTCGTTCAGTGTATGTAGCGCCCTTGCGTGAACTGCGGACAACACGTTCGTTGCTCGAAACAGTGCAAGACGCCGTCAAGGTTGACTAATCATAACACGCTTCCTACAGCAACACGGTAGAGGTGTCTGTTACTCTCTGCATCCTTGGGGTTCCTTGGGAGCGCTCGGAACGTGCGAGGGAGCTGATATCCCAAGAGGCAGGGACGGAAGGGTTGGATATCGAAGGGTACAACCACACGATGGAAACGCGACCCGAGCACAAAATGGAAGCGACCAAAACAGAAAATCTGAACGATACATCCAATGGACACCCGAAGCGAGTACTATACGGAAGAGACCGAGACAGTACATCTGAACAACAAAACCAAACCCCGAAAACAGAAAAAGAAAACGCTTCACGATATAATGGGCAATAAAATATACCTGGAGGTTAAGTACGGCGAGCTGCAGCTTCGTGTACGACAACATCTCGCCGAGGGGGGCCCCGGCGTCTGATCCGAGGTCGCAGTACGGAAGGTGCAGCTGCTTGAGCGACGAGTTTGTGCGCAGCCCCCGGCATAGCGCGGCGGTTCCCTCGCTCCCTAGGGACGGATTGTAGTCCAGCTTGAGGGATAGAAGGGACTTGTTGCACCCGATGCTCAGGGACTGTCCCAACGCGGTAGCGCTGCGTTGCGTGGATGTCGATAGTTTGCACAATCAATGATGGTGGTCCGTTTAAATGTTCGGCAGGATGCTCGTCACTTCCAAGAGGACGTTAATAACCGAAAGCACTGAGTTTGTGTAACCGGATGGGACAGCATGTCGTGAGTAAGGGCATACGCCCATGCGGCACTTCCTCCGATACCATATTTTCTTCTTCCAGGGTGTTTTTGTTTATTTCAAGTACTCGGTCAATCGGAAGACCCGACAACTGACGGAGTTTGACGAAAACCTGATGGCATCGAGGATCTACAGAACGTGCTCAAAAACATTGCATAGCCGTGGGCGACCGTATCTCCAAGAGCAATGGTCTCTACCTCGCGCAGCAGCAACGGGCTTGGTGCCCACGCGGCCCCCCTTACCCCGTCGGGCCGATATTGTCGTCAAAGAGCTCCACGTACTCCAGCTTCACCTCGGCACCTCCAAGTCGCAGCACTTCCGCGATGCTCCTCGCCCCCTCGTCGCCGCAGTGGGCGCGCCACAGCCGCAGGCTCTTGATGAGGCGATACGGCCCGCCGCGCATGTCCTAGCGGAGGAACCACGAAAAATATGGATGTCTTGTAGGCCTCCGTATCCGATACGTGAATCATCAGTGTTTCTAATTTGGAGTCAACCGGCGGACTTTTTGAACATTTTCCTTCGTGGTTTGCAGCCGAAGGAGTTGTACGCCAGTAGTCACTGGAACAAGGGCAAGACAACATGCAACTATTCGCGAACAGCGTAGGTTGTTTGGTTCGGTGTGGCTCATGTTCGTGTGAAGTCGAGCGGCAAGCAATAGCCACTGCAGCATAGTCTAAGCTGTCTCATCTGAAAGGGGCACCGAGGTGATCATCGGAAGCCGCGGGCACGTGGTGTGCCGATGCGGTAAAATCCAGAGCACGATGACGTAACGTCTTCCTTGTAGAGAACTACTGTAGTCACAGTTTGGGACACAGACTACTAAATTGTAAGTCTACAGCTCCGCTGTACGTATACCTGTCCGGTACCCATGATGGCCGTCATGAGGGCTCGGGTCCCTCCCGGTCCGAGAGGCCCATGCTCGTCGTCCACAACGATCTGCAAGTTTCAACAATAACGGGCAGAACGGTCTACGTTTATCAACCCGTAGACTGTATGGTAGTATCCGACTCCCGGGTAAGGCCCCAAGACATGTGGTAACACATGGTAAATCCTTGCGACAACACACATCAACGACTACCCGATCGAAGGGATGAGTTGAACTCTTTGCAGCGAGGATTGAGCGGCACCCGGTGGATAATGGATACATGTCTGATTAAAAAATATTCCGATTCGTAAGATCTGCATTCATTCCCTGTTCCCTTGAAAGCTTGAAAGTCGGACTGCACTGTTGTACTAAAACTCGAGCAATTTCATTGGTGAAGACCACAGTTCAATCCAATAAATACACAACATGAGCACACTCTACGTAGAATACGGACCAGAAAAGAACAACGACGCACACATGCCTGTGCAAGGGGCTGGTTTTCGTCACTTTGAAGCTGTGCGACGACTTTTGGGTTGGCAGAGATGCCGATCAGCCTGCTGAACCGCTGATAGTTCTGCAAGAACAGCGCGGGATCCTCGCCTTGAACCTCGCCATCCACTCCTTTTGTTGCCTTTTTGTCACTTTTTTTTGGCCCCATGGCGTTCACGCCTGTTGTGGCGGAGTCTCTTTGCGCTTGGTATCGCCCTGATGATATGTACCCACCCTCCTCTCTCCTCTTTCGGTCCATCTACATGCGAGGATTTTTGGAGTTGGGCCGCACATCTTCGACGAAACGGAACATTTTGACCCGCGTGCGCAAGTTAACAACATCACAACATCAGCCAGCACGGCGGGTTGCGAGGGCAACATGTTCCTCCCCTGTTTGTGCAATGGCGCCGAAAGCAGGAAATCGCTTCGATTGCAGATAGCTGAGACGTGAAGGAGCCACGCAGCAGTCGGAGAAGGTCCCCTGCGTTCCCTTTACTATTGTTGCAACTTCAACCCCCCCCCCCCTCGCAGATTTCTACAAAACCCGATCTGCGTATGCCCCAGGGTCCTGGGCGGCAACCGCAACCGGCGGCAAGCACACTTTGCACTTTGCACCGTCATTTCCGGGGAACATGAAGCTGTTGTGGTGCTTCTTTGCGCTCTTAACCTCTGGTGGAGACTCGTTCGGTGAGGAAATCTGTAGAGACGAACTTACGTCCTCGTCTTCATGTCACATTATTCAGACGCAAATAAGCTCATGACCCAAACGACCGCCGTCAGGCAGGGACTGACGCGAAGCTTCGCCTCTCGCACATCTCGCCCAGCCCTCTACGATCGAAGGAATGTGTGAATTCGTACAGCAGTGCCAAGCGTGTTGGAATCACCGCCTTACCGTGGCGTTGGCGTTGTTTGCTGTGGCGTTGGAAAACAGGCATGTCCACGTTCAGGCACTTGCGAAGTCTATTGCATGTGTTCAACATGCGAATTTGAGCGGCGGGAGCTGGTTGCGAAGTTGTACGCTCTTGACCAAAACCAGTATGGAAGAGAGGCTGGTGTGCGTTGCGCAGCGCACCGCACAAGCATTGCGAATGCATATGACGTGGCTGACATGAGGTGAAAAACACTCTCGCAAAACACTCGCCACGTGTTGTTCCCCGAGAAATCCGGGTGCGGCGATAGGAAAGAGAGCCAGCGCCTACACAGGCTTGCTTTCTCATGCGCAGCCGTACCACCCGCAACCGCGCCGTAGTGCACCAACCTGGATCAGCAACTCCCCTCACATGAGTAACACCTTGCTCGTCTGTCTTTCTACGGACGACAGTGTCACCATTCGTACCTGCTGCTGTTTCGTCCGCGACGACGGCGGGACGCGGTCGGAGTCAACCGTTGGATGCACGAGCGAGGGCCGCACCGCCCACCCCTGCTACACGAACAGCTATGTCTATGTCTAGCGAAAAAAGAACCGGCTTGGGGTAAGGGATGGCACGGTTTCTGTCTTGTGTATTACAAACGGCACTAGGAGTCGCTTTTTCTGCGGCATCTGAACCGAAAAGGGGAAGTTCGGCTCGAGCACGATGCTATCGTTTTGTTGTGTCGGCAAAGTGCTATGTACAGCAGTACCTGGTTTGCAAAGAGGCATAGGCATGCACGACATCGTGCTTCCTCGTCCCCGCTGCAACTCGCACACACGGAAGATTGCCTGCATGCTTTGCATACTTCGTGCCGCCCATGCGCGAGGACTCCACGCCGCCGATGGATCCTGCCACGCGACGTTCCCACTCTTGGCATGCACGCGTCAACCATTCGTGCCCCCGCCCTCCTCCGCAACAGCGCTGCCGTGGCCAGCTGGACTCTGGCGGCCGTGCTCGTGGCGGGCGTTCCCCTCCTCGTGAACCCTTCGCCGGCGGTTGCCATCTCCGGCGGGGGGCTGGACTACGCCGGGCTGAACCTCACCGGGCAAGACCTCTCCAAGGGAAAGTACAAGTCCAAGGTAAGAAAGAGCGTATTTCAACTACATAATGCGTACATATGCTTAACCAGTTTTTCAAACGGGTTTCGTACGGTATATTAGAAGGTACTGAGCGTTGACCGGAATGGTTGTTAATGTGAAGACAACAACAACAACCACAACAACAATGTTATTCTTGTTTAGAACTCATGGCAAGAGATCTTTTTTTGGGGGAGGGTCATTGATCCGACCTCGCGATTTCCGAGAAGTGGATAATAGTTTGATTTGTTTCCGTGTCCGTGCCCCTTATCTCCGCCGCGAGAGGCGATGGGACCCCGCCGTCAGAACCCGAGGCTTGGCTCACAACGTGCATTGGAGTTTGGTGGACAGACGGCGCTATCCAGTTATACCTTGGACACGTGACATGTTCCAAGCAAAATGCAGAGGGAGAGAGAGAGAGAGAGAGAGAGAGAGACGAAGTTGCCATTGAGAAGAAATCTCACGCCCGCGGTATGCCCAAGTCTTTTCCCTCACGTGCGAGCTCCCTCCCGAGCACACCCCCGCAAGTACGCATGCCGAACCAGCAGCCCTGTCGATCCCAGAATAGCATTTCACGCCCACGCTCTTGTTGCGGTACGAATTGCCACTATTTGCACCAGCGTGCCGCGGGTTGAACAGCATTAGAACTACGTACATAGTTTTGAGCTGCGTTACGCTTGTAACAACTGGTTGCGGGCTGGGCGGCAACATGTCGCCACATCAAAAAAGGTCTGCTCGGATTTTTTATCCGTAAGATTTATGTGTACCCCGACTACAGCAGCGGAAATGAAAAAAGCATGTGACTCCGACGGAAAACACGCGAAAAGTAAGATAGATTCCCGCCCAACCCCGCCAGGTGTGCCTGTTTCGTTTGGTTCACAATCGTGCGCTTGTGCTTTGGCCGTTTCCCACGCGTGGACGACGCAGGACTTCAGCGGATCGATCGCGAAGGAGGTGAACTTTAGCGGGTCTGACCTGCGAGGGGTGCGGTTTTTCAAGGCGGACCTGAAGAAGGCCGACTTCACCGGCGCCAACCTGGGGACGGCCTCGCTCGAGGAGGCCGACCTAGAAGGGTAAGAGCTAGAGGAGGGGAGGGTCTTGCTAGAACTGTAGACTAGGAACAGGGAGGGTCATATGCAGGCTGGCTGGAAAGGGAAGACCTAGGGGAAGAGGAGGGTCGTTTGTAGGCTGGCTAGAAGGGTAAGACCTAGGGGAAGGAGGAGGGTCATATGAGGCTGGAGCCGGTTTTTTTTTTTTTTTGTTCTTCACTTCAAATCAGCGCTCACAGCACTAGTGCCGTTTATTCCAACCCGTGGTCACACGGAAGAGCCTCTCTCTACGCTCCCCTCCTGCGGTACTTCGCCTTCAATTTTTAATGCGAGAAGAGTTCAGCACTCTCTTCCCTCTGTGTACACACGAACTAGCGCTATCCACTAGCCGGTATGTTTGCTGTCGGGTGGTGCCGTCGCGGCGGCAGCCGTGGTGGGAGCGCTGTGATACGTGTTTTGGGTGTTTTCCGGAGACAAGCTACGGGATCGGAGAAGGGACATGAGACGAGGAAAAAACGACGGGTCTGGGCCGGTTGGCGTTTGTGTTAGCAGCGGCGGTTGTTGGTCTTGCCGCTGTGGAAGGTGTGAAACGTGCCTCACGTCTGATGGCAGGGGTAGACGGGATGCCTCACGCGCGCAGCAGAATCTTGGGTGATTCAAAGACAGACAGGAGCAAGACAAGCGCACCTCTTCCCGCTCTCGAGGTTCTTGCGGCAGGGGGGGGGGGGGGGGGGGGGCCCCCTAAGCCTAAAAGGCGGAATCCTTTAAACCTTTGCCCGGGGTCCCCACCCCCGGCGGGGGGGAACACGCCGGGTTTTCCCCCGGCCCGGGTTGGGGGGGGGGGGGGATTTTTTCCCCGGGGGGGGCGGGGCCCCCGGACCCGCTCTCCCGGGGAGAACTATCAAAAAAAGAGGCCCCGCCCCCCCCGGGGGGGATGGGGGGCACAAAATTCCAAAAATGCCGACCCTAAGGAAAGGCCGGGGGGGGCTCCCGGGGGCCCCCCCCCCAATTTCTCCGGCGCCCCCCGCCCCCCTTCCGGCAAG